CCTCTACCCTCGTGCCAGCCTATATCTCTGAGTGCCCCACTCTGGTTGCAGGAGTCACCACCACTCCTGGCCCTGGGAGTGTGCTGCCCTGTTACCCTGAGAGTGGGCAGGATCAGAATCCCTTCTGCTTGTTCCCACAGCACAGATAAAGCTGGTTGGCATTTTTAAAGGAGCTATACCAGCACTAAAGAGAACACAGTGAGGCTGCATGGGTTTAAATCTCAACTCTACCATTTGCTAGCTGGGTGGACTAAGGCAAGTGCCTCAACCTCTCTGAGACTTTATTTCTTCATCTATAATATGGAGCCGAATAATCTCACCTTGTTGTGAGGAATAAATTAATCGTTCGCTTGACTCCTCCTCATGTTCTGTGATGGGCCAGGCATGTAAGTAAGTGAAAGTGGCATACGGCAGGTGCTCTTTGCTTTTTGGAGTGAACCTTCAGTAGCCTTTCGGAGGCTACTCTTTCTAGGTTTTTGACCAGTTCCTCCACCTCACGGACCTTATTCTGCTCACAGCTGACAGAAATCGCCTCTCAGAGAATCCCCCCATGAGTTCTTAGGTTCTTTCCTCTCCTGTTTCTCTTTTTGCTCTCTACCTCCAAAAGCAAGAGTGTCCACTTCACAGGCCCTCAGGAGAAAGCCATGACGCATGATTGTGGTTAGGGGTTCATTCCCAGGGAAGCAGTGACATTTTTGCTCAGAGCCAACAGCATTGCAGAAACTGGCTTCCTAACCCAGCCCCACCCTCTCACACACACTCCATGGCTAGAGTTGACAAAAATTCACATGGGGCTTTTATACTTTATGAAAGAGGATCGTGTCGATCTCGTGTATTTTAGTACCATAATTTAATAGGGTCACTGACAAACTAAGTGTCCAAAGTGTTTTCCAGGATGGGGTGCAGTCTCCAAATTAATGTTAGTGAAGTTCACTGCAAGGACTGTCGCTGCTGTGTTAGGCCAGGATTTTGAGGAGGGATGTGATTGTTGTCCTCAAATCCTTAAAGGGCTTTGGCAGAAGAGTGTTAGGCTTATTCTGGGTAGTTTCAGAGGACAAAAACGGTATCAATGAGAGGAAGTAAGGCAAAGCAGCTTCTAACCCAGGGGAAGAGAGAGTTTCCAGATAGAGAAGTCAAAGATGGTACTGACTTCCTTATCAAAGCCAGTTCTCATCCCCGCTGTGTGAATTACAGGGACTATTTGTCCAAGGTTATTCAGAGCCATACTGATTTCATGTAATAAGTTGAATTAAAGGTGATATGCTACATTTATTGCAAAATATAATTTGATTTTTTGTCCCTGTTTGACAAGTCACCCCAGAAAAAAAACTGTCTTTGGTTAGGTCAAGCACACTGACTTTTGGTTTGCAAACAATGAGAGATTCCTACATTAGGCGAGAGTTCAGATTCAAGGTGTCCCCAGTCCTCAGATTCTACGATAAATATAATACTATTGGTGATTTAGTATGAAGATGTGCACAGGAATCAAATGAAGAACTCTGTTTCCAGGCTCTACCCTTGAGTGTTGTCAGCTATGGCCCAACAGATAATGCTTTAACTCTGCACCTTATTAAAATCACTGGAAGGGAGGGAGAGAGCAATTGGGAGCCAGCCATTCAGTTCATATATTGAATACCTATTGCGTACTTTAGCAAATGAATATATTTGCGACTCATTGTTACAAAGTGCTAATTTTCTATATATAACAGCTCCTACAAATCAATATGAAAAATAACAAAAAGGCCACAGGCCCAAACTAAAAGTGGGAAAAAGAAATGTACAGACAGTACATTGAACAGGAAATACTATCTCATACATTTGAAAACATGCTCACTTTATAATAAGAGAAATTCATTTTAAAATTACAGTGAGAATCACCTCACACTCATTAGGGTGGCTAATTAAAAAAATAATAATAATAACAAGCATTGGCAAAGATGTGGAAAAATTAGAACTCTTGCGCACTGTTGATAGAATATAAAATGATGTAGCTGCCATGGAAAACAGTGTAGCAGTTCCTCAAAAACTTAAAAGTAGAATTTCCATATGATTCAGCAATTCCACCTCTGCGTATATACCCAAAAGAAGTGAAAGCAGAATCTTGCAGAGATATTTATACACCCGTGTCCAGCATTATTCACAGCAGCCAAAAGGTGGGAGCAACTCAACCGATGAATGGATAGCAACATGTGGTATATATATGCCATGGAATAGTATTTAATATTAAAAAGGAAGGAAATTCTGGCACACACTACAAGGGGAATAAACTTCATGCTAAGTGAAGTAAGCCAGTCACAGCAAGACAAATGCTGTATGATCCCATTTATACCTAGAGATTTATATCCCATTTATACCAAATTTGTGGAGACCAGGGTGGCATGGTGGTTGCTAGGGTTTTGGAGGAGGGGAGAATGAGGGGTTATTGTTTAATGGGTACAGAGTTTCAGTTTTGCAAGATGAAAAGAATTCTGGAGGTGAATGTGGTGATGGTAGCACAACAATGTGAATGTACTTAATACCACTATACACTTAATAATGATTAAGATGATAAATTTTATATTAGGTATATTTTACCACAACTAAAAATAATTTTGAAAAATTATGTGGTGCCATTTTAACCTTTCTTATTGGTAAGAATATCAAATTAGAAAACATACTATGTTGGCAAAAGTTGTGTGAAAATAAACACTCTCACGTTTTGTTGATGGGAGTATAAACATATAAACTTAGAGGAGAAAAATTTTTCAGTATCTGTGAAAACTAAGGTTGCACTCACCCCTTTCTCTCGTATAGCAATTCTACTCATAGGAACATAGCCTGCTCACACGTGTGTGATGTGGCACACAACCGAGGGTTTTCATTGCAACAAGCAAAGGGAACCAATCTAAAGATCCATCAATAGGGGCTGGTAAAATAAATTATTGCCATCCAACAGAATACAGTAACATAATATGCAACTTTTAGAATGAAGATACTCATTATGTGCTAATACAGAACGATCTCCAAGGTGGTAGTAAGTGTTCAAAACTGCATAGTGTATGCTGCCATTTGTGTTCAAAAATAAAACAGAATATTGATCTATGTTTTCATTTTGGTTTGTTTAGCCTAAAATAACTCCAAATAGAGGCAAGAAATTGATAACCATTTATCAATTTCTAGTTACATCTATGGAAGAAAACTAGATAGCTGGGGATGGGTTGGGAGAGAGACTTGCTTTCTTCTACTTATCGCCTTTACCTTTTAAATTTAGTACCATGCACTGGTATGATCTATTAAAAATTAATTTTAAAAATTTAGGTTATAGTATAGAAGGGAAGAAACATAACAGATACTTTTAGCCCAATACTCTGTGTTGGATGCTACAGCAGCAGAGAGGAAAGGTGTCTAGCATAGCCTGAAGGGATCGGAAATAGTTTCTAGACAAACTGCACTCCAAGGAGGGCATTTCTGTTATTGGATCAAGAGTAGTTGTACATCTTTCCTTGAGCATTGGTTTGTTTTTATCAACAGACCTGTGAATTAGTGGACAGACCTGTGATTTAATGCACTGATTAGGTTTTCCTTTTCACGTTGGATGTTAAAAAGCTACAAAGCCAAACTTGTGCCCCCCTTCCCCCCATGCAAGGTGAGCTGGTTTCTATGGTAAGCATTTAGCATTGGCCTCGTCCCTGGCTCTGTTTTAGAATCCTGTATTTGATTTGCCTTTTCACCTGTTTCTAATGTTGGTCAACTTTCCTTATTTTATGCTTCCCTGGAAGCCGCTCTATAGCCTTTTTGCTCTAAGCTGGGGTAAGTGGATGGGTGGAGGAGGAAGCAAGGGAACAGAAGAAAGAGGGTAGAGGTTATAAGGCAATGCATGTCGTTAAGTGAATAGTGTGGCGGTTCTCAAGGTGTGGTCATCATCACCTGTGAGTTTGTCAGGCATGAAATTCATGGGTTTCATTCCAACCTACTAAATCAGATTCTCTATGGACAACGCCCAAGAAACTATTTTACATGCTCTCCAGGTGATTTTTGCACACTTGAAAGTTTGAAAATCACAGGGAAACCAAAGGAAGGTTGATTTCTAAACATAAATACTCTTCATTTGCCCCATGTGTAGCAATTGTGTTGATCAAGGTATATAATGCTAGCTACTGTAATAAACAATCCCCAAAATCTCGTTAGCTTAACACAAGAAAAGCTTTTTTTATTTGTTTTGGGTTTTTTTGGCAAATGTCACAATCCAATGTGGATCAGTTGTGGGGGAGGGGTGGAGAGATCTATTTTACTAATTTATTCAGCAAAGTAGGTCCTTTTCATTGTGAGCCTTTGCCATCTTCTAGTCCCTTGACTTTTCCTCTGGATCCCTTGCATCTAAGAAGGCAAGAGAGAGAGGAAAGAGAGAGGAGGCTTTAGTGGCCAGGTCTGGAAGTAACACCCTTCTTTTCTGCTCGCATTTCATTGGTTAGACTCAGGCACGTAGCCCATCTAACCACCAGGGAGGCTGGGAAATAGGCTTATCCGTGGAGCGCAGAGGGAAAGGAAGTGGCTTTGGTGAACACATAACATTGTCTCTGCCACACTCAGGAACCCAAATGAATCCCAACTCTACTTCTAGGTCATGTTATTGTGAACACTGGTTTTCAGTTTCCTTTTC